CTAGTGCATCCGCAGTGCTGCTGCTTAGAATAACTGAGTGAACTCAATTCCCCCTAATGATTAAGGAAAACTTAACTGTACCTAAGTTGCATACCTGCATACTTAATAGTTTATTAGCCATTATAGACCATGCATCCATAAACTATATGCATCTACATATAGCCGCTGTACATGCACTTAGACCTGTATCAGTAGTGAATGCATAATATTATTTATTAAAAATTGTTTTCTAGACTGAAATGCCAAGAAAACTTGGATTATATCGCAAAAAGTATGCCAGCAGGTCTAAAGCTTCAAAACCCATATCCCTATATTTAAACGAACCAGTCAGTAGCATCAAAGATTTAGAAGATAAAACAACCAACATCGGAGTAACAACAGGATGGGTACAACAACTGTCATCAAATAAAGAAATTCTGTTGTTTACAACAATTTTGTTTAATTCAGTTTTGATGGTTCAAATCAACCACTCCTTAGACATAGCAATCAAGTTTGAGGGTCAACAAATAAGCTGTGAAACAGCAGAGTCATGGAGTGGCATTCCAAATAAAATTGAGAAGACACAAGATCTGTACACAGTTTTCTCTCACATCCAAAAACACAGCATATGCCAAGGAAACCAAATAAAAGAGTTTGCTGAAGTTAATAATGAGAAATCACCAACAGCAATTAGAATGGGTAAGTTTATTATACTGAAAACAATATTTATAATGTACAAAACAATTGTTATAGGAAAGGAAATTATTTATAATGAAAATTGTGAAATATTGTGCAACAAATCACATTCCTATTGCCAGCCATGTTTACAGCAGAGACATAAGTTATGCGTACAGAGATCACGTGCTGCAAAACAGACAACATCAAAATCAGATCCATCATCAACAGCACCATATTCAGCTTTGTCCAGAGATGAAATGAAGCAGAGAATGAAGAACCTACACAATGAGGTTAGAAAGTTAAAGAGACAAAGAGATCGTCTTACAGAGAAGGTTGAGCTTTTGATAAATAGTGAGAGCATTGTTTTGAATCAACATGACCACGACGACCTAAAACAGATCATCTTGATGGAGAAAGAGAACATAGAGAAACATCTGCATACACCATTTCAGAAAATTTTCTGGGAGCAACAAGCAGAAGCAGCAAAGAGAAATGACACCCGAGGTATGAGATGGCATCCATTGATGATACGTTGGTGCATCCTTCTTCGTCATCAGTCACAAAAATCGTATGAAACTATGAGACAGTGTATTGCACTTCCGTCTCAAAGAACTCTGCGTGACTATACCCATCACATCAAGGCACAACCAGGATTCTCCAATGAAGTCGATTCTCAGATATGTCACGCAGCAAGGCTGACTACAAGTGAAGAACGAGAAAAATATGTAGTGATATTGTTAGACGAAATGCACATCAGGGAAGATTTGGTCTATGACAAACATACAGGTAGAATAATTCTCTTATATTGTTCTAAATGTACACATAATTATTATACATAATAGGCAACCTTGTTGGATTCACACACTTGGGCGATGTCCTTCATCAGTTAGAGTCATTGGAGGAGACTTCAGAGGACCATACTTTCCCACCTGAGTTACTAGCCAATTCCATGATGACATTTATGGTCAGAGGGCTCTTTTCACACCTGGAGTTTCCTTACGCCTACTTTCCCAGTAGGAAAGTCTCCGGATACATGTTGTTTGATCCACTATGGGAATCTGTGAGTAGATTAGAAAGATGTGGATTTAAAGTAACTAGCTTTACCATTATATCATAACATTAATTTGATTACCTTTTATAGGTAATGGGTGTTACATCTGATGGTGCATCAATTAATAGGAGACTAGTTCGATTGCATAACCCCAAAAGCAAATTAGTTCACAAAACATCCAACCCTTTTGTTGTTGATGATGATAGAAGTTTCTTCTTTTTCTCAGACCCCCCTCACTTATTGAAAACAACTCGTAATTGCTGGGCATCTCGTTCAAGGAGTCTCTGGGTAACTTAATAGGAATTGATACACAACACTTTCATTTTATTTCCTACAGAATAATGGAAAATATATATTGTGGGACCACTTAAATGAAATTTATAGTAAATCTAGATCAGAGAGTGGTTTGGTATTGCTACCCCGTTTAAAGTATGAGCATATTCATCTCAACAGCTTCTCAAAGATGCGTGTTGATTTAGCTGCTGAAGTAAGAGCATTGTTGTTATAATAATGAGGTGGCTTTTGTAATGATAAGGTTATCAGTGAATCAGTGTCTAAAGCTCTTACTTTATATGGAGGAGACAAAGCTAGCGAAACAGCAACCTTCACAAGCAATTTTGATAAGTTTTTTGACTGCCTAAATGTGTGGAATTTTAGCGATGGTAAGAGAAAGAGAAAAGTGTTTCAGGATCCATATCGCTCTGGCACAGACTTCAGATTAAAGGTAATATTTAAATAATAAATATAATTAATGGGTCAATAAAAATTCTAGTGGCTAGAGGAAACATTCCTAAGATACCTAGAAAATTGGGAATGCAATGTGAAAGCTCTAAATGGATATACTGATGCACAGAAGAAAGCAATGCTACTAAGCGAAGAAACACTAGCAGGAATAAAAATGACAAGTATTCTAACATAACAAAATTAAAAGACATGAATTATTTTCTATGCAGCGAAATCATTCATTGAGCTCACCAAATATCTTTTCACCGTACCAGGAGTCACAGTTTTCTTCAGTCGAAACATCTGCCAAGATCCTTTGGAAAAATTCTTCGGTTGCCAAAGGCAAATAGGAAGAACACACGACAATACAACAGTGAAAGAGTTTGAACAAAACACACAAGCTCTTCGTGTTGTAGACTCCTTTTGTCGATCATCAGTAAGGTCAAACTGTCGTGGTAACAATGATCTCGATAAGACGGATCATGAGTCATATTCACTGCCAAAAAGGAAGAGAAGCAAAAAGAATGATGAATATAGTAATTAAGGACAATTATGTAATAATATTAAGTTACTGTTATTTGTGTAGGCTGTGACACTCCTTCTACTTTGGACGAACCAATGGATACATATACTTCCTCAGAGTCTATATTAGGTACTCAATATCCATTTAAAAAATTCCTTTTAAATATATTCATATAGGTCCCTGTGAGATTATTATTGCAGCAGTAAAAGAAATGACATACTTCACTACAGTAAATGAGTCATTTTTTGAAGCAGTTAAGGCTTTCCTAGCCTGGGCGGGGCCTCCTTACCCTGCCTTCTTTATCCAGTTCTCTGAAATTCTTATCAGTTGTCTCCATACTTGCTTTTCTAATAAGAATAGCATGCAAGCAGAAAGGGAGCACATGTACACACAGTATCATGAATTACGTACTTCACCAAAATTTCATAAAATATGGGACACATTCCTTTTAGAAGCCATCAAAACTAACCCAGGTCCGAAATATTACCAGCATATTACTCAACGAGTTTTCACTGAGCTTATTAACAGAAAATACTTCACTTCCAGTGAGAATAACGTATCCGCAACCAGCTTTGAATGCCTCACAGATATTGAGGAGAATGCCCTTAGATACGTCTCAGGATACATCTGCCGAAAATTAATAACAAAAATAAAAAAGTCGACACACAAATATAAATTTGACCTGATTTTATTTATGAGTGAAACCAGTGGGATAGATGCAGAGGTAGACACAGATACAGATGAGAGTAGCAGTGAGAAGTGGCTGAATATAATGGATAGAGGTGGCTTGTACCATGTCAATGATTGTACATACCAGCTATTTGTCCAAATAGAGCTGGAATTAAAGAGCTTCTTTAACTACAAAAGAAAAATCACAGAAGCTACTCACAATGATCACAGTAGTAATAAGGAGTCAATAATCAAAAAAATATCACAGAAAGAAGACGTACTTGACAAGTGGCATGTGCTTACAGAAAACGAGGAAAATTTAGCTGTAATAGACGAATTATACACGATGATAATTACAGAATTCGTAACAGTGAGAGGATTCGCTTTCGCAACATCGATAGTAGAAGCATACAAGCATCTCTCCAACAAAAAACTACAAAAAAATAAAGGACTTCGTAAAACATTATACTAACTTATTATTATCTCACTTCTTTTCCCCTAGTTCCCTCTCTTTTCTTGCCTTCTCTTGCATTATAGTGTGCTGACTGTGCTCTAGACTTAATGTCTAGTCTTTATTAAAATTAATACACGCCCAACAAGGGCCAACATTCTGCATAATTGATAATCACACAGTCTGTACACGTGACGTCATCAGTTTCCAATCCCGGTTACGTAGTCTATAATATCTATGCTATAATCATAGATATGTACGGAACAGGATAGGAAACTGGATCACGTGAGCGCATCATAATCCTTGTAGTTTGTCTGAAAGTCTCGCTGCCTGATCCAACTAACAACAAGACGCTTCCTATCGGCCCAAAAGGCT